ATCCATCTTCGGGTTCCACATGGGGTTTATTTGAGAAGAATGTGAGAAACCTCCCACCTAATAACAATTTGTATCAGTTCCACAATGTTTCCAGTAGAGGGCAGTAGTGGCTAACAAACTTCATGTTTTACTTGTTTAACTGAGGTTTTTGGTGTAAGTTGTGTTGAACTGCATTACAGCCATCTGCTGCTGGAGTCAGTAACGGGCATCACTGGACAGTTCCTTAAGTGTCTCACAATATTGTGCTCAGCCTTTATGACCTATTAATGTGTCTGATTGTGGACCTTAATGTGTCTGCACCATAATGTCTCATAGTGGTTCTAAATGTGTGTTACAATGTCTCAAGTAAAATACATGAAATCAGGTCCGCCGACTGAGGGGACGGATTAGTGGAGCTGCAAAGCTGCTTGGAGGAGCGGGTGACATCTCAAGCCCAGCCAGAGGCAGTAGAAGATCAGCTGTCGCCGTGCATTTATTTTAGCAGGTGCCTTCATCCAAAACAATGTACAACTGAGAAATTAGGGTCAGCCAGTTCAATAGCCCAACGTCGACCTACCAAAATTAAATACTGAACAAATAACGGCATTAGAGTTACCCCTCTCAATAGTGGAACTTTTTGATGCACTACAACGTATGCCTGACCTATATTTATTGAACCATTGGCAGCAGCAATTCGGAAAAATAATAATATCAAAGGTGTTCAAACAGCAAATATAACCCATAAAATTAGTCTTTATGTGGAAGTTGTATTACTTTTTCTTCAAAATACACAAAAATCTCTCTCTGAGACTATAAGACTCATAGATAAGTTCTCCTTCATCTCAGATTACTCTATTAATTGGAACAAGTCAATTATTCTTCCAGTATCTTGTGACTTCCAGTTCAATCCAACTATCCCACTTCAATCTGGGAACATTAGATACCTGGGTATTAACATTTCTGCCAAGCTGTCAGATCTGGCGCGATTAAATCATAGTTCTCTGCTTAAAAAGTTCGAAGATGACCTTGCACGGTGGAATAATCTGCCCACATCACTTTTGGGAAGAGTAGCAACAATCAAAATGATGATCTTGCCAAAAATTAACTACATGTTCTCAATGGTTCCGAGTCAACCTCCGCTGACTTGGTTCAAATCATTGGACTCCATAATTTCAAAATATCTATGGAAATACAAACCACCACGAATAAGTTTAAAAACTTTAAAGAAAACCCAAAAACTGGGGGTTTGGAGCTTCCTAATTTGTACAAATACTTTCTTGCCAATAGACTGAAATGGACTACGCAAAACAATTTAGACCTTAACTGGCTGGATATCGAGCAAACTTTCTGTAACGATATTCGAATCCAGGACCTGCCATTTATCAGTCATATACTTAAACGACATTGCTGTTTTAAGAGCATCAACATCAGCACATCGTTGACAGCCTGGTGGGAATTTCTTAGAACGAACCAAACTTCAGTGGTCCCATGCAAACTGACACCCATCTGGAACAACCTTGACATCCTGCTAAATAAAAAAATGACAAACTTCCCAACATGGCATAATAAATTAATCATGCGCCTTGAACATATAATCTAAGACAATCGCATGATCTCATTTGACAAAATAGTAGAAACCCATGGCATTGAGAAAAACGATTCAATTCAAGAATATCTTCAACTTAAATCAATAATACATAATAGATGGTGTCGTAAGCAATTAAATCTGGAGCTTTCACCTAAAATAGCAAACTTCTTAATAACTCCAACTAAAAAACTACTATCTAGGATATATGTATCTAGCAGAATTTCATACAACGCTCTCACTCCCTACCCACAAATGGGAAAGGGATTTACTCATCAACCCAGACACTAACTTCTGGAGGCAATTTTGCTTGAATACCTTTCAAATGACTCAGAAGTCCAACCTGCAGCTAATGCAGTGCTAAATTTTACACAGAACGCACTACATAGGGCAAAGGATGTTCGAG